GAGAGAGAGAGAGAATCGAGGAAAAAAAATACATTTTTTTTTCGCGTGAATGCGTTAATGCGTGATACACGATGTGTTACACCGCGCGCAAGACAGGTGAAAATGTGGAGATTTTTTAAATGCATGACAGAGAGGGAAGAGTGTTGAAGTGAGAAAGAATGCGAGATGACCGTGTAAGAAGAAGAAGAAGAAGAAGAAAAAGAAGAAGAAGAAGAAGAAGAAAAAATACGTTCGGATGGCCTCCTATTATTATATTATATGCATATAATTATATATATTATTAGAAAGTGAGAAGAAAAGAGGAAAAATATAAAATATACCTATCTACGTGATATTTTACAGAGAACATAATCAGGGACGCGTCGTAACCATAGGCGTATAATTATTATATTATATATTATATAATAGAGTCTCTTTCTAGTGATAGAAAAAAAGGAAAAAGGAAAAAAAAAACCATAAACCACTCTTAACTTATTTTGTAACTCATCGTCGGATCTGAGGAAGAGGAACACGGTCGCGTGACGAAACCAATGAGCGTGCAATTCTCGACGTACGGCGTGATCAAATTTCAACATATTTTTCGAAACAATACAACGATGATAGAGAAAATGATCGATCGTGACAGGTTTCCACCGTTTCTTACAAAATCTCCATAAAATTTTAAATTCGCGATTCTCACGGAGGGAACTTTTGATGGAAACGACGTTTAATCTTTAAGCATCATTGTCGTTCAAAAGTTCATCATTATAATTAATACTCGAGCCACGAGCCACGTTGAAACGAAAAACTTGGCTTTAATTTTCATGGCGTGGCCACGATCTCGATCGTTTTTTTCTTTTATCCAGCGGATAAATCTGGATCCATTTTCCATCACGATTTCCTCCATGAGACGGATAACTCTCGTGTTTCTTTTTTTTGTTTTTTTTTTTTTTTCTTTTTTTTTCCTTTTCGTCGTTTATTAATTTCGAATAATCATACATGGCATACGGGGGCCAGGGTGAAACCACACCGTTTTTGCCTGCGAAACGTATTATCGATTTGCTTGTTATATCGTTATCGCCGCCTTGCTGAACCGGCGCGATTCTCCCATTAATCGTAACGCTAGCCATCGGCGTAGTTTGCATATTGATCGTACAGAAAGAGAAATAAGAAGAGAGAGGAAGAAGTGGAAGAGATTGAAAAAAGTGAGGAAAGAAAAGAAAAGAAGGAAGAACGCGGGCGAACGTTGTCGGAAAGAAAAATAAAAAATAAAAAAAAAATGTTGTAAAAATTTGCGAGAATTTCGAGCATATCCGTATATAAGAGCGAAGAGTTTCGAAGAGTGGTGGGAAGAAAAAGGGAGTAAAAGGAAGAAAAAGAATAATGATAGAGAGAATGGTTTATGAGAGAGTGAGAGAAAGAAAGAGAGAGAGAGAGAGAGAGAGCGTGAGAGAATTACCGATCATCATGGGCCCCGTCATCGAGACGCAACGCCACCTCGTTCTTTACTTAACGGTTAACTATCATTAAGGTGCTTCAATATTGTTACGTTACGTTTTTTTTATTACCGTCATTTAATATTAATGTTATTATTATTATTGTCATTATCATTTCATTATTATTAGCTTCGCTAGATCGTGTTTATTAGAAAGGATGATGTACATCTGTCTCCTGGCAGGGAATCGAGGAAAAAAAAAAGATACGAGGAAAACGAGATCGCGTTATTTCGTGGGCATTGAAAGAAAGGGGGGAAAAAAGGAAAAAAAAAAAGAAGAAAAGAAAAAGAAAAACGATGCATAGAAGGAAAACGCTTTTCACGCTTCGAATATATTATTTTCCTTCGTCCTTTTGGATTTTTTATTTTTTTTTTTTTCTATCTTTCGTTGTATTTCTCTTCGCCCGTCGATTTTTTTTTTTTCGCCCACGTTTCTCGCCATTGAGACAGAGGCAGTCTTGCTATAACGTGAACGAGCCAGTATGTCAGATATATCCTGTTTTCTCTTCTCCTGAAAATCCTATATTCTGTCTCGTCTTCCCAATTCTTTCCTCTCCTTTTTTTCTTTTTAACTTGTAAATACCAATCTATTAGTCTATTTATCTACCTGATATTAACCGTTCCAACGAATTTTCTCAAATTTTTTAGATCTGATTGTATTTTTTTTTTTTTTTTTTTTTTTATTATATATAATTTTTTGTGTCTCCTTCCTTCCTTCCTTCCTTCCTTCCTTCCTTCCTTCACACATACTACGTTACTACTTTATGTTCAATACGTTTTTATTTTGCCATTTCTTAGCATGTAAGCCATCCAACTTGCCAATACGATTACAATAAAATATGTTTAGAAAGGAGAGAAACTGTGCTGCGTTCAGTTCACGCCCATTTATTTCAATTCCTTCTTTTCTCGTTCGCACGATTTATTATTTCGAGCGTAAGTATCCTTAACCTACCGATTTTGATTTTGCCGATTTGCCGAGGCACGGTAAGTCAGAAACATCCAAATCGTATACAAATTTTATCTCGCATCCTCTTTTTTTATTCCCTTCAACTCGATCTATCATCCCCGTTTTTGCTTTCTTGTAATTTCAGACCGAATCTCCACGCTTTCCAAATTATATATATATTTCAATAAATCGATCAAATCACGCCGTACGTCGCCTTCGATCTTTCCACCACCACCACCACCACCACCACCAAGTGATCGCAGAATATTCGTAAAAAACGGTGGTTGGAAGTACAAAAGTCGTCCTCGAAATTTACACGTACGAGAAGGGCCACGGTCACACTTTCGATCTGGTAAATTTAATTTAATTTCCTCGAATAATATCGAGAGAAATCTCGGAGAAACAAATACGGAGAGGATATATTTATTTTCGAAAAAATAGGGGCGAAGAAAGAAATGGAACGATTTACACCGCGGGGAATGCGGTCGACGCGTTTTATCGCCGTTTATTATTTATCGAGGTTGCCCGCATCCAGGAATAATGGATCGGGCCGGAAATTGCCTCTAAATACGTTGGGGAGCGTGAAACCGTGCAACGATGCATCGAAGGGTGAAGAAGGAGGGCGAGGGGGTGGTGGTTCACGTATCACGTGCGTGCTTCAACCACGGATTCCTTGCGTAATTTTCAACCGTAATCGCGTACGCCAGTTATCCGTGTTATCTCGTCGCCGACGATTAACGGTGACGACGATCGTAAAATCGATGCGAGTTACGCACTTTTACGTCTTTCCTTCTTTTCTTTTTATAGCCGATATATCATATACTCGTCGAGAATATTATAATTTAAATTGGGTAAATCGTATATTCGTGTTGCGCGCGAATATAGTTTTACTTTCGATCGAAATTCGTATCGATCACGGTACAAGAGCAGCGAATAAAAAACGCTCGTTGATTCTTGATATTATAATAATAATTATCTATTATAGAAATAGTTTGTGAATTAAATTTTTGCAGGGAGAGATGAAATTAATTGTATGTATATATATATTTTTTTTCTTAAAAAGGAAAAGTATACATCTTGTATATGTATTAAAGTCGTGAAAGAGGGTGAAAAATCGTGCTATTATTTGATTATTTCGCTGCTACTTGTTCTATCAGTTTCCGTTCGCATCTCGGATCACTGTCTCGATTCGCGTGCAATCGATCGAAAGTGAGAACGTCTGGCCCGAGGGAAGAGCCGTTTTTTTTAAAGGTTGCCAACCGAAAGAGGAACGGTAAACGGACGGAGGCCGGGGCTTGGATTCGAAGAGGGAAAAGGTCCGCTTTAATACGGATGCGCGCGACGTTCCCATCGATTCGACGTCGCGTATTTCACGCGGAGAGCGAGAGGGTTTCCTCATCCTGGAAACGGATCGTCGTCGAATGCGTGGAGAAAAAAAGGCCGGATAATTTTTACGCGCCATGGACGCCTCGTCAAGTTAACGAGACGTTTTTCCAACGGATCCGTCGCGATCTGTACTTTTCCTCCCACGAGCGTCCGATGGAAGAAGCCTTTCATCGTAGTCGTGTCGAGAAGTTGGTGCGTTACGTAGCTCTGGTGCCTTCTTACGGCCTGTTTGTACGCAAATCGCACCACGAATTCGTCGATTTCGAGTAATTTCTTTTTTTTTTTTGAGATTTTTTGAGATTTTTCGAGATTTCGTTTACGGATCGAAAGAGAAAAGTGTGTATTATACATTGGATTTAGGATATATTCGAACGAATATATTTCCTTTCTCGAAACGAAATTTCGATTTCTTTTCGATGCGTTACGAAAAATGAAGGAAACGAGGTTTGGTTTTAATTTGGAGATAATTAAATAAAAAAAAGTCTGTGTAGCAATCGAGAATTTACTTGTAGATCGGGTGAAGACGAATCGACGGGTACATCAGGCGATCACAGTTCCTATTTTGCTCCCAGCAAATTTAATATAAGACGCTACGTATGTGTGAGTAACTGAAAGAGAGAATATATCTGGTTATACAATAAGACTATAGATTATTGTGCGTATATTGTAACGATAACTTATAGTTAAAATAAACTGTGTGTATCAGACGCGGTTATTACTTGTCGGAGAATTCGTATTTTATAATTGGATGGGTATTATAAAATTGAATCGAGTTGCAAACTTTCCAACTCTTCTAAATTGGAGAGGGATTTCTTTTTTTCTCTCTTCCTTTTTTAATAACGTGTTAGAATTATTTAACATCGATAAATGTTAATTCACGATTTCTACCATTGTTGATCTTCGTGACGTGCATGCTATTCGATAGTTTACAAATTTTTTTTTTACTTAATTTTTATTAGCATACCTTATTCGTTTATGTGGAATCCATATTGCAGATGAATATATTGACCATTATGTACATATTGAATTTGCAGTCATAAGATCGTAATAAAAAATCGTGAAATATATTTTCTATCCTTTAACCATCCAAATTATGAAATTTTATTATTTCTTTCAAACAAATTTTAATTTTTTTTTTTTGAGAAATAATAAATTCAATAATTGCGAACTGTGTGATTGATCAATGATTAATTTTCAGGTCAGATTATTATTTTTTACTACTGTGGATAACACGATCCACAGTATATCCTCCGTGAATATGATAATTTATACACTTTTATCGAGTTATCGATTCGTTTGTCATCTCAATAAAATATAAATTATTCGTATTAAATTATTCGTGAAATATTGAAAATCGTAAATATTTAAATATCTAAAATTAAAATTAAAATTCGCACGGTATAGGAGAGTTTATGGATACGTTTAATGCGTAGTCCTTGCTTGCCAAGCGGTGTTAAATAAAGAAAGAATAGAAACTAACGCCATCTCTTGTACGCGAAAATATCTCTAAAGGAGGGTGATGATAGGCCAAAAACTGACTCTTGGCGCCATCTCTCGAGTATTTTTGTAAACTCGTGAAAATTTTAATACTCGAGAGATGGCGCTAAGAGTCACGTATTTGCTATTTTCATCCTTCTCTAACTATCTTCTGTCCTTAGATCTCGAGTTTCATTTGCGGCACTCTGAAGATGGCGCTGATTTCAATATTTTTACTCTATCTCTGTCCTTCTCGCACTGTTTCCTCTCCTTGTCTACACCTTGTTATTCACGCGCACAATAGATGGCGGTAAGAGTCACTCATTTACCCTATTTTTATCCTTCTCCCATTATTTCCCTTCCTTTTCCAACACTTGTTCCGTATTTATACGCTCAAAAGACGGTTCTCTATTCTGATTAACTTTATTATCGATCAAAACGTTTTAACAATATTATTAATTGTTAATTATTCGGTCCAATTTTTATATCTACATTCTTATTATATACATTTATATTTCTTATTCCCTCGTTGAATCATTTTACACGTATATACACGATCTTTCCACGGTTGATATCATCCACGCGAAATTTTCACGCGAAATCGATTCGTACCAATTCGCGAAGGCCAATTTTCCTCGCTAAGAATAATGATCACGTAAATGCAAATCTCAACCCACTTATAAATATATAAACAGCGCTCGATCGAGATGCGCGAAGCATCGTCGCGAAGAGGTTTTATATTTTTATATTGCGAGGCAAGTTTATCAATCTCTACACCGATCGAAATATCACGAGTGACAACTCGCGACTTATTATTATTACAGGCTCGTACAATTCGATGGTTATCGCCGCTGTTGGGATAATAATCGTTGGACGAAGTGCAAGCAACGTTGTTACGCAACGCAGACGAATTCGAGATGATTTTCACGCTTCGTTTCACCCGATTCGATTCGATTCGCGGGGAACAATCGAGAATCGTTGGGGCAAAGGGTTACGATCGCACGAAATGGGGCGATTGCTTTTGTGTTCTGGTCGCGAGGATAATGAAGGGTCAAGAGAAGAGAAGGCGAAAGGTTGGCCACGACGGCGACAAAGGGAACGGGAAGAAAGGGAAAAAAGTCAACGGTACACACAAGCGACATTCCACGCTCGCTTTCGAGTAGCTGCTAACGAACGTGACTGTGTGAGGCCAGCAAGTTCGGCGCGCTTTATGCTAATGTCTAAACAAATGGCCGGCCTCGAATGAAAAAAAACACGACTTTTGTGTTGCGCAATGGCCACGTATATATTTCTTCTTCATCGTTGCGCCAGAAATCTCCACTCGGCAAGCAGGGAGATCCCTCTCTTTTTCTCTCTCCTCACCCTTGAAACCTCGTGAAATAGTAATGCGTTCCAGGAGAGGAGGGCGCACGAGCTGCTGATTACTTACTTCTTCTCGCAAGGCCACGCGTCGAGAGAAGAAAAAGTTTCTTTTTCTTCTTACCATT